TACTACTACTACTACTACTACTACTACTACTACTACTACTACTACTACCGCTACGTATACTACTGCTACTACCGTTGCTACCACTACTTGTTTTTTTGTGTTTTATCTTTTCCAGGTGGTTCAACACCCCTTGCCTTTCCCCAATTTGCCTAAGATCCACGCGGCGCTGGTCCATCCTGGATTTTTCGGAGGCGGGAGACCCGACCGTTTCATCGGTGGCACATCCAGCCCACCGCCGCTTCCACCGTGGGAGTTCCGGTGGAGAGCGACTTCCGCGGTCCACGGTTGATCAGGTTGGCTGCATGCTAATGCATGTCACCATGTCTTCACATGTTGTCACACGTGACTCGTGACCAAATGCCGAAAGTCACCAAGGGGGTTCACCCTCTCTTTGATCGTCACATATCGTCACATCTCTCATATAGTCTCTGCAACCCACCTTGGTTTGGTGGAACTTTTCAATGTTCGGTGGACAACATCTTCCGAGGCTTTCACTGGCTGGCGATGCACTTCCCTGTTTGCTTCGTTTCAATTGAATCGTGTGTGTGTGTGTGTGTGTGTGTCCATGTGTACCCCATGTTTGCTGCCTAGACACAAGAAAGGGTGAATGACACGTGTCCTCGTCACAAAAATGATATGACTTCCATATTGAGCCTTTGGTTTTCTACTGGCACCATAAGTTCAAACCGGATATCGCAAGAGGACGCCCCAATGGGGACCGCTTGGCTTCAAGCATGGTAACTCCCTAGGGCTAAATTGGCTTATAAATACCTTTTTCAGACCTTTAGGGAGTCCTCCGAACCCTATAGGTCTACATGGTTTCAGTTCCTTTACCTACTGGGCCTACTTCAACCCTTCAACCTATCCCAAACACCGCGGAGCCTGTAGCGTCAGAAGCACTCTCCGCCCGGAAGCCGAGGTGCCCCGACCTCCCCTCTCTCGACGGAACATGAGCCAGCCATCCCACGGGTAGGTGTTGGAGACGGTGCCGCGCTTCGGGACGAATTGCAGCAGTTGCTCCTTCGAGTTGCATGACCTTTGGCAACGCTCGCTCGGGCGGCCCAGGACGAACAAACCACACGGACACGCGGTCCGGCGTTTTTGGGACCGGTGAACCCCCGGGGAGCAGAAGTAAGGCGAGACTGGTGCGTTACGGACGTCCGGCATCGGTGGTTTGGGGGGATGGCTTTGTTTTTGGGGTGGTTGGCTCTTGAACATTTTGACAAGATCCAGTCAACTGTTCAAGAAACACAGTTGTATCATGTTGTACCCTACCATGTTCTACCCCACTCAAAGGTCTTGCACAGAGCCTCAACAAATATATCAATGTGCTTACAAGCTTCGCCGAACATGCCAGTCCCAAACATTCCATGGGACTGGAAAATGTTCAGATGATTTCCATTGTCAATCTACATGATGCAATGTAAATATGAATATTTACAGTATGCAAATTCAGGATGCTTTCAGGGCTTTCAGGGTGAAACCCTGGGGTCGTAATTACGGGGCGGCTTTTCTCACTTCCCATCGGACTCTTTGGGCCGAACGAGCCGAGGCCACGGCACGTGGTGGCTCGATGCTCCGAACGCCCGGGAGACCTGATGCGAAGCCGAACGTGGTTTGGGCGGGATACCACAGAGCCGAATCCGTGGCTGCACGGACTCATCTTAAAAGGCCGGATCGGTTTTGGGGCAGGGCACCGGCCGTTTTTGGGTGGTCTTTGCCAGGTTAATTTTTTTTGGTTTCCGGGTTTCAGGGAGCGAAGAAGAAACCACGTTGATGCACAGCGGGCTTCCTCAGGGGGATCCAAGTGTGGTGCATGTATTGTGCATTGTTGTCACCGGACTGTTCAACATTTTGGTGATTGAACTGGAAAGTCCAAGCCTTCTCGATCCATGGTCACCATGCCGAAGTTTCAAGAAGCGGGGCCGAGCAACTTGAAACAAAGGCAGATTCAGCACAAGTCCGCAAGTCCGATTGCCACCATCCGCCCGCAGCCTCGTTCACTCTTCCGAAGAAGACCGGGAAGTCCACCAGGCCCGTGTGAATGGCTCCGCCAGCACATGCTTGCGGATTTACCGCATGCTTTTGGATGATCCACCGCCATCTACCACGTTTACCATCGTTTACCTTGGACATTTTCAGGGGTTTATAAACATATATATATATACCTTTGGGTGGTGCTGGTAAAAAATCAAAGGTACCTTGGACTAGTTGCATGTTTTTCCCCGTGTGCCTCCGAGAGATGTTCCTTTTCCCGCCATTCTTGAAGCTCGAGCCGGGGAGCTGGGAGTCATTCTGAGAATGTTTGGAATCAAGTAATTAGGTCTTACAACGGGATGAATTATACCTGCACCACCCAGTTTGGGTGGTTGTTGGATGGAACATACATCTTCAGGGGAGTCTATTAACCAGCCGATCTAGGTGGGGCTGGTATAAAATCAAAGGAGTAGTGTGCACTTGTTTGTCGAACAGGTGAAGTGGAGACTTTGCCTTGCAAGTCGGCCAGATAAATCTGTTTTGTGCACATCAAACATGCGAGTTGTGTTTCAACAACTTCTCCAAATTATGCAAACAAATGAAGATGAGCTTGGATCTCCTCATCTACATAGGTTCCGCTCTCCTGCTCTATGGATCAAAACCCAGACCAAATCAGACATACAGAAAAAGCCTTGAATTCTCCAACATTCTGAGACACTTGTGATGCCACTTGCAGAGACAAAGAATGAGAACGATATCAAGAAGAAAGGATGCACAAGGTGAGTTGCGGTCAACTTGCTCTCGTTGATTTGAAGAAAAATCCCAGAGACTGCTGCGCGTGTTTGAGGCACAGCTTGCCCACCTCGAATCGTATGCCATAGTCCCTCTTCCACAGTTCACAGCCATGAAAAAAGGATATGGGACAAAGACAAAGAAAACACATATTATATAAGACATTCTACCAGGACCATCCAAAGGGTGTCCTGGCTGGACTACCCTACCCTACGATCCGGGATTTCGAGCCAGGACACCCAGATACGATGGTCCAGGTATGTGTGAAAACATGTAAAGACAATTGCCAGCACCACAGAGTTCGAGTGGTTTATAGACAACCCTGACTATGCATTTTACTTCCAATCACCACCTACTCCTTTGTGGTCCTGGTGAAGATCTGGTCTTTTGTGATTCGCCCCGGATCCAAGGCGAGTACATAGCCTTTCACTGCGTTTGCCGTCGGGATCAGGCGATCACGGCGGGAGAACGGACAGAGAACAGACTGTTTTGTTTAGAATCACTGGTCCATCAGACGTCTTCAGGGCCTATATGGGCCTATATGGGCCTATATGTTCAGATCTGGTTGTAAAAAGCATTAATGTATAAGTCAAAATGTTGGTTGAGTATGGTTGAATGATTATTTAGGATGCCAATATTGTTTTGATGTGTAATTTTTTAGGATGATTATTTGGAACGACATCGGAACGACATCGCCGGCTTGAGCTCCGCCGGGACCTTCGTCCGCGCCTTCGACAAGATGCATTGCTGGCCCGGCGCCTTCAGCATCGTCAATGGCCTGCCGGTTGCTGAAGATATGGGCGCACCCCGGCTGCTACGCGGCTACAGGCCGTCCTATGTCAAGGACGTCACAGGCGTCAGGGAGTATAGTGATCCTGGCGTTCCAGGAGTCTCCCTGCTTTTTCGCCCGGGGGACACCCAACCGTTACAGGTCACCCTCTCCGTCACTGGAATGACCAGCCCCGTCCACATTGAGCGGAAGTGGCACGCCGTCAGCGGCCTCCCCAACTTCCCCGACATTGATCTTTTGCCCGCCCACGGCTCTTATGAAGGCGGGTGCACCCGCGGCCACCTCGTCGGCTTGATTCTTCGAGTTCGCCGCGGACCCCTTGACCCGCAAATTCGTCACCACCCCCACGGCCTGGGGAAACCAGCCCGCCGACATCAACGACGGCGCCTACGCCGTCATCGAGAGGTTCTTCGCCCAGGTCATCCACAGCGGGAAGGAGGCTGGCATATGCGACGTCTCGCTTACCGGCTACGTGAGCTGGGGCGGCCGCCGCCGGCCCGTCGTCCACGACGGCACCGTCGTCAGGGACGCTGGCAGTGCACCCAGTGTGTACACCTTGCGGTTGGTCTGCGGAGGCTACGACTTGGTCTGCTCCGTCGACTACAGAGGGAGGGCCTTCGCCTCATGCAGATTGTTAGTCCAGCACGGCGACGACGTCCGGGACGCACCAGGGGGGCCCTTTGGCTCTAGCTTTGCGCAATTCAGGTGGTTCAGCGACAGCCACACCATTGACGCCAACGGCGGTTTCAGCCAAATCTTCTCCGAGGACCTCATCCGCGTCATGGTCCGCAGGGACGCCTCAGTCCTCATCGTCGTCAAATTGCTGGAGTGCCAGAGGGGCTGCGAGGACTTGCGGCGGTGCTACTCCGTCGTCGGCACCGAAACCACCGACAGCTTGGCCTTGATTGCCGGCATCGATTCCCGCAGGTTCCACGTCTCCAGCAGCAGTGTCTCGTGCGTCATCTTGGGCATCGACACCGAAGGCTGCGAGTACAAGTGGTCGACCCTCCACAGCGCCAGCAGCGTCGTATAGCCGCGTCTGCACCGGCGCTGGCGAACCTGAGGTTGAGCTCCTCGGGGGGTTTTTCTGCAGCTTCAGTGAGGTCGCCTCCGAGAACGACTTCACCGCGACGGGCAGCGTCTTCACTGTCTTGTCGCCGCGCGGAATCAGCGCGGGCTTCTTCGACAAGGGCGTCTTCTGGTCCGCCGACCACTGCAGCGGGGACGGCTTCGTCTTCATCAAACCGAAGCGGGTCGACTTAGGCTTCATAAAGATGCCCTGGTTCGACGTCTGCCCTGGTCGACGTAGTGGGCTCCTCCGGGGGCCCCATCTACACGGGCACCGTCGGCCAGGACGCCTGCGTCGTCGACGTCGTCGCCAGGCGCACGTCACACGACGGCCGCTGCGTCGTCGGCAGTGTTGGACACTTGCCCCAGGACTATGTGTCCTCCCTCTCAACTGGCGAATACAAGTTCGGCGAGATCGCCATCGACTGCGGATTCGGCAAGACCGCCGTGATAAAGAAAGTGAATACATGTGAATACCTTGGCCACGGACGAATCATCTCTCGTTGCTTGAGCTCGGCTTCCGCTTGTTTCCCGCGTTCGAGCTGGTGAGGCGGTGTGTCTCAAAGCCTCAACCAGTTGGATGCAGTGTTTCTCCATGAACTGCCAGGTGGTGCTTTTGGATATGTATGGATAATGTATATACCCGGGCCCCCTAAGGGGTGTCCAATTATAGCTGCTTAGAGGTTAAGGGATGTACATTACCACCCCTTAGGGGGCCCTGGCATAAGTTCAACCTTTTAAATGGGATGATTCTTTGCCCACGGACGAACATTTTTTTTGTTTGTTAGTTGACACCAGCAAGCAGATCGGCTTCTTGGCTTCTTTGTCATACCTGGACCCTGGATCTTCAGTCCGGCACTTTTACAGGGTCCGGCGCCGGACTTCCAACTCCGGCGTTTTTCTGAATTTGGTCCGGCAGTTTTTCCAAGTCACTTGAAACGTGGATTCTCAAGGCTTTGCATTCTTTGTGGCTTGCATTTCTTTGAAGGTAATGATTTGCTTACAAAGTGTGCTCGTTTGCCTGTTCCGCTCTTTTCTCATTCCACCGGTTTCAGCATGGTTCACACTGGATCAATCAGATCCGTTTCGGTGATCTTCTAAATGAAACCGGATGAAAATGGTACAGTGCGATGCACGTGTTGAAAGACCCAAGTGGGTGTACCTAAGCTGAAAGAACATAGGCAAAGATGTACTCCCATTGTTTCAGGATGTCGGGGCGCTGGGATATAATTAGTTCTAGTTGCGCAGGCTTGCAGAGCCTGCCGGACAAGTTTTGGGCTGTGGAACATGTGTTGTTCAGAACCTCTATGTTTTGCAAAGAAGTTCCAGAAAAAACTACTCGTGGCGCATGGCAGTTTGCTGGTGTATGATCCAACCTTTTATCATCTCTGTTTTTCAGAATCTTGGATCCGGATGTTTTTTCAGGTCTCCGGCGCTTTTTTCGGAATCCGGCGGAAAATGTTGCCGGATTGAGGTCCGGCACTTTTTCCGCCCAAAGGAGGATCCAGGTATAGTTTATATAACCTTTCTGAGTAATTAGTAGTCATGTTGCCTCCCGAGAATCTCTCAAGCAAAGACCCCCAACTACCTGGTTGCTTTAAGTGACTCTTTGAGATCCCCGGTGCTTCCGTCACCTCTGGTCGCCTAATCCCAAGAGTGGCCAGCTAAACATCTTTAAAACCCTCAAAGGATCACCTTGAACAAGCTGGCTACACAAATTAATGATAATATGGAACTACAAGACATATATCCCTAATAATGCCACTATCACCCGGCTAACGCAATGCTACAAGACATGACATGAATGTTTGCTTGATGGTTTGTCTTTCATGATTTAGCCAAAGATGCCTACGAGATGTTCTTGCGCACCCAGCCATTGGCTGCTTTCTTGGCCCCATTTCGCAGGGCTCGCTGGCCCGTGGAAGTAAGGTCAACCGACGGTCAAACCAGAAACAAACCCATGTGGATGTTCTGGAAAATGGGATCTTTCCCCAAACTACTACTTGTTATGTAAAGGCTTGAAAGGCTCTCATTTGCCATCCCGGATCCACCGCTCATGTTTAAGAAGGTGAGCGGGGAGATACTGTCATTTAGGGCTGCAGGGTCCAGTCGTACCTTCTGCGAAGTTAGGACTGGATTCCTTAAGGCCCTATTGTCACAACCATTTGTTTCTGGTTGGGACTGGCGAAACCCAGGAATGGAGTAGATGGTACCCACTGAAAAACCATAAACCCGGGACAGGTTGCGCTTGGAAACACAGGAAGCACCGATCGAACAGAGGATCCAGGAAAGGTTTTTGTAAATTTAGTAAAGTCGTTTTACTTCAGGTATTTGTAAATTTAGTTCTATAGAATGAAGTCAGACACTTGGCATGTCCGCTTCCTTGGCATGTCCTATTCGATGTGCTTCGATCAACATCGATCCACGGTCGACGTGGCCAACGGTCGTCGGGCTCAGCGAGGTCTTGGCACTGCAACGTGGCTGGCGCTCCTTGGGCGAGCACGCGCTTTCGGTGGCCTCAGAGGTGCGGGACTCCCGCAACGGTGCCACCGGTGGGGTCAGTCTGGTCAGACACGGTGGGGAACGGGTTGGTTGTTGCTGGGAGAATCCGGACATGGTCGGCGCCGAACGAACAGAGTCACAAAAAAAAGAGGACATGGATTGAAGTTGGACAAAACGTGCAGAACACGGTGTCATGGGAGCTGGAACGACATGGAGCCAGCTGGAGAAGAACACATACTCCTGACCATCCGCAGAAAAACACCTACAAGACTGGAGAAGAACAGTCGACAGTTCGTCAGAAACGGTTGTTATTTTTTTGGTTTTGCCAATTCCATTGGAATCGCATCATCAACTTTCAAGCCTGTGGATGTTTGATTATGTTGGAATCTGCGAACCGCTTTTGGGAACGGCCCATACTGCATAGAACTCCAACAACTTTAATATCTCATTTGGTAGATGGACAACATGGAAAATCATTTGTAGACCCTCCTAGCTATTTAATTTGATCATGTTCATGCAAAGGAATTACACAAAAAACTACGTCACGCGATCCTCTCACACGTAGTAAAAAAGGGTGTTTGAAGGAGGCATCTCCTGTGGATCATCTCCAGGCGCAGTTGCTGGAAGCTCTGGAAAGGTGAGCTTCGATCTGAAGCGCCGCTCGTGGTGTTTGTTTTTTTTCCCGCCTCTCGTTGGGGGGGGTACCTTGTTGACCCCAGGGGCGTGGAACGGAGAAAGGCGCCCAAAGATAGAAAGAAACAGTGCGAAACTGGAGTGTGCGACACTCGAACATGTGGAAGATGGTCTTATGATGTCCCATGTGGCTGGTCATGGCACCCAGACCCCGTGGCGTAACCCGAATCGGTATGTCTTCACATTCGTTGGTCGTTTGTTCATGTGACCGGTGGTCAACGGGTGGGCCCACCCCCGGTGCCATGACCCACAGCCAATGTGAAAAAAGGTCGACCTGTTTGGGCCTGAGACGAACCGAAAAAAACGGCCATTGGGGTGGTTGAAACGGGCTCGTTCTATAGGCAGAGAGAGAACCGTTGTATATTCCATACATGGAATGTTCGAGTTCGATGATCAACAACCAATATTTGCAGTTCCAGAGTGATTGTTGCTTTGTGCCGTTTGGCTACCGGACGATGTTGATGAACAGATCAAACATATGCCATGTGCTTGAGGAGTCTTTCAGGGAATCAAGGAACACTGAGATATTGATCTTGCAAATTCTGCAGCCCAAAGAAATCCATGCCACGGGATTCAGCTTAAAAAAAGAACAAAGCATCCTACTACCCATCTCACTACTGGTCAATGACTTGTCATCACTAGGCTTATCAGGGGACGATATGGTGCCCTCGCGCCTCACGGTCGAACAAAGTCGGACGGTCGATGGGATGCCTGAGTTGCAAGGGTGCGTTCGTGCGCACGCAGATGGTAATGGAAACTGGAAGCTCAAAAGCTGGTTGCAAGGGAGGAAGAGCCTTAATTGGGTCTATGTTTCGCTTGTCAATGGTTTGTCTAGACTCTCTGAAGTGTTGTTTGTTTTTCAGAAACAATTTGAAAGCGAGACTAGAGGGATCAGATCATTCTTGAGGTTACTGACATTAAGAATCCAAGAGCTATGTCCCCGTCAGCGGTCCCCTTTTGTTTGTTTGTGGCCCGTGGGGCCTGGGTGAACTGGGCGTCCTACCGGGGACCTCTGGTCGATGGCGTTTCTTCTAGGAACTATGCTTGCAGAACTCCCATCTTCAAGGTCACCATGCTGAGAATGGGGCAGAATGGGGCAGATGGTCATAAGCTCCACCCTGAGAAAAACATAATGTGTCGAATGTGTCCCGTGAAAGCTTGGGGTTTGCTTCGGGTTCTTGCTGCAAGTCCGTGGTCAGATTGTTTGGTCCTTCCGATCCTCTCCGCCGTTGATTGCTGCGAATCGGTCTCCCAGTGTCGTGTGTCCAGCAGTCGCTCTACAAGATGATCGCTATTCCCTGGGGCTCCAACCATATCCTCAGGTGATTAGACCTCCCAAACCCACCCCAACCATCTTCTCAGGAGGTGGTCGGAGCCCTAGGGATTATTGAGAAAGGCTTTCTTGAACCAAGACACCTGCCAGCACCACGGATTCCGAGTGTCCATCAATATATAGCCCGAAAAGAGGTCTTTTGGGGTGTCTATGAACCACCCCTTCCGTGGTGCAGGATCATCATCATCATCATCATCATCATCATCATCATCGTCATGATATCATCCTCATCCTCCTCTTCCTCCTCCTCCTCCTCGTCGTCGTCGTCGTCGTCGTCGTCATGGGATTCATAGTTGCCCCACTTTGCAGATCCTCGGGTCCTTTGGAAGTTCTTCCTTCATTTTAGACAATCCTCTTAGAATCAAAAGAATGGATGAACGTCCCCAATTAGGGACAGGCGTAGACAAACACACTGTACACACACACACACTCTTTCACGTGCCGTGCGCACATGACGAATGGAACCACTGAATTCCATCGCTGTCGCTGAATTCTGCTGCCCACCTGTCGGACGGTCCTTTTTTGTGGGGCTTTGAAGAGCCGGGACAAGCGTTACAAGACAATGATCACCCTGCAAGTTGAAGACTATAATTGCAAAGAATGGTCTTTAGGTGAACCAACAAGGAATTTTCTTTACTTCAGTCGAGCAAGATATAGTCTTTGGACTTCTAGGGAGAAGTGTTTCTGTTGTTTGCTGATTGATGTAGTCAGGAATCAGGGCCCCGCTCCAACTGTGGTCGCGAGAAAAGCTGAAAAGAGTATCTTTACATGCAGGTGACACGGGAGTGGCTTGTACCCGCTCTTGCACGGAGCTCCAACATACCCAGGCAGGTAGATTGCCGCAGTTCATGCTAGAGCCTATGGTAGATGATTGATGGAGAGCTGAAACCGTGCTGTGGCAGCAAGTGAACAGCCCATCGATTACTTGCAGAACCGGTTCTTTCAATTTGCAGAGGCACCCTCGAGTCAACAAACAGGGTTTGTCAATGAACATCATTCCAAAACCCTGGAAGAAGCACCAGGTACTCCACCTCCAAGCCCCACAAGCTGGTGCATCCACTCCTCCTCGGAGTGGATGTGGAGGGAGCAAAAACGAAACGACTCAGCCAGGTGCAGCCGCACTGTCCAGGAACTGAAAGGACTCAGTTTACTTCATCTCATACCTGGTTTTGCTTCAGGTGACTTTCTTATTTTTCCCAACGGGTAAATCCATATAAATCCACTTCTGCGGATGTTTGTCAGGTTCGTTACGCTTCCTTAAGCGTTTTGCTTAAGCATATGATCCATGAACACCGACATGATGGGTTGTGACCCACCATCTTCGCCCGACCAGTCCCAGCGAACGACCGACGACGCGCGAGTTCGGCACGCCCGGGTCCTGCACAGTCGTCGGTCGGGTGACACAGGTCTGAGAGTGAACCTGAAAAGGTGGCTAACTGGGAATGTGTGGTGGTGCAGCTTCATGCCGTACGTCGGAGCCGTACGTCGGCCCTTCAGCCTACGTCGGCTTGATTGAACATACACCAAACCCACCACCTGCACCACGGAAGGGGTGGTTAATGGACACGCTTTGACCTCTAATGATTGATGGACACCCGGAATCCGTGGTGCTGCCAGGTGTCTTGGTATGTCTTGGTCTATGCTTCTTTCTTCCAGCGTGCTCTTTGCTCCAGCCGGTTTCATTTCTTCCCGCGTCTCTGTCACGTAGCGGCACCCCCTCTTCCCCGCCGCGGACGGATCTCGGTCAGCAAAGCCTGAGCGATGTGCCGCCTCATGTCGGTGAGAAACCGCTCATGCACCAAGCGACAGCGAACGGCAGGGGCGAACGACAAGGGACAGAGAGATGGGCGAGAGAAACCAGGTGCTCAGAATATAATATAAACAAATATGCATGCATATATACAGTATATATATTATATATATACGATATATATATATAGCCGATTGCATGATATTGTAAAACTGTTTGGGTCCAAGCTGTGTGCATCTTGGGTAAGGTGTAGCAATGGATTGCCCAGAGCTCCAGCTATTGTTGAAGCAGCATGGCAATGGAACAGTCTCAGTGCGTAGTCCAGACACTCCATAATATATGGAATTACCTAGATTTACCCTCTAAAACCACCCCAATGTAGGCTAATATACCGAATGCCGATTTGTGTTATATAAGACTTCCCTACCATTCCAACTACCTCCTGAACAGGTGGTTGGGGTGGGTTTGGGGTCTTCAAGGTGGTTGGACCCCTCTAGGTCAGGTCTGTGTGTTCCTTTTCGTGGCCAACCGAGACCCGCAGACCATCTCGCCCCGGTCCAGTCCAGGTTGATCTCATCCGCTTCGGTTAGGTTCAATGGGGCCGTAGGGCCGGACATGGCCCGTCCGACATCACATCGCCCAGCTAGGGTGCCAGGGTGCCAGTGCCGAACCTCAGAATTGATATATACCTCAGAAATCTAGTATACTAGTATATTCCAGTCCATATACCTATAGCGTATACCTAGAACCTGATTGACCCCTGCAAAATGGAGCCAAAACATGGTCAAACTTCCTATCAAAACAGAGGTCATGTTTGGGTTCTAGGTACTGTATATATATATATATGTGTTACTGTCACAGCGACCAGGATTCTGAAAAAGCGGTTGTTTGTTGTGCACTGTGCTTGGCGCGTGAGGAAGTTCATGATAGCGGCAGCCAGAGTAGATCAGGCCAGGAGAATAGGTTGGATCTCCTCATGACGGGTTCTTTTCCAGCTTTTGAATGTGACTTTTGGTGTGTCAGGCTAGTACCCCCTCCCCTTCTGTCCCTACAATTTGGTGGTGAGGTTTTGAAGATGCCGAGTATTTGAGTGTGCCCTTTGAGTGTGCCCATAGGGATTGGCCCATGGACACTGGGCTTGGCATGGACCTGACGGACGATGACTTCCTCTACAAAACGGGAGTGGTGAACTCAGGTTCCATGTGAGTCTCGGAAGTACCCGATCCTTGGCAGGGGTTGCTCCGCTCCACGGTGTTTTTTGTTGGGCCTTCCACACAGGTGAAAGGGACTCGGTGACGAGCTCCGACTCGGCCCCCAAGAAGTTGGTCAATGACCGAAATACTGAAGTGGGTCATGGAAGTTCACACCAAGGAAAAAGAGGAAAAAAGGAGGTGTTGGACGTACAGGATGGGTTTCTTCAACTCCTGGGATGTCCGGCGAAACGGTGCGGGGAAACGGGTTCTGCTTCAACCTGTCGAGCGTGTCAACAGACCTGTTCCATCGATGTCGAGGGCGGTCTGCCGTGCCTCGGCGATGCGGTCGTCGTCAGAAACAGAGAACTTGGACTGGACGAGCAGTGTTTCTGCCGGACCCAAGCTGTGACCCTTTTTTTTCTCTCATGGAAACCTGCTTTCGCGGAAGTGATGCCGGTTCATTCAGAGATCTAAACCTAGAAAGTCATTCGAGATTATGAGAGAGTTTAGCTGAATTTGTAACAGCGTGAGGTCTTGACTTCATGTGCCCCTTCATGTGCCCCTTGGAATTGCCTTTCACGCTGCAAGTGGGTTTTTTGCAATGTCCAAGAGCTGCTGCAGAAGTAATCAGCGTTGGATTTGACGGGCGACAATCAGATGTGAGATAATGTA